CTGCGATTGTACAATCCAAGATGGCGGTATACCATGAAACAACCTTAAATAAGATTTCATTCTATGCCCCTCTAATCGATGTCTTTTTTGTTGTTTTCAAATCGACGTCCAATATTTGGCTTCCTCATTGGACGTCACAATTTTATTTCGTGAAAACAACTGTCATATTCTTGATTTGATACATGTATTTTCCGAATGCAAATGGTTAGTTGATTCAGAATCTAAAACTCAAAAAGTAGTTAAAAATATAAGATTTTAAATCTTGCAGAGTCCAAATAATAATACTTTTCAACAATCGACTGTACTTCTTTATATTGTCTATTGTATAGCCCTAGATTTCTTTCGGTTATTGGAGAGTGCAATAATTAAAAAATCATTCAGTTAACGCACTCCTCTAAAAATAACAGATCTGAAGTTAACTCACTCAAAGATCAAAGGAAAAACTATCGTTCATGTTACAATGTCATATTAAAATAATAAGTTCTTATTGTACCATGGGTTTGGACTCAAAGTGCTTGAAAGGCGTCATTCTAGAATTTTATTTGTTTTATAACTGAAATAAAAAAAAAAAACCTACTCTGTAAAAACCATTATTTTAATTTAATTGGGGGTGGGGGTAAATTACGGACAGTCAATCATGATTCTTCAACGGTATGAAAATCTCATCCCTTATCTTTGTAAAACAAGATTGTTTACATTTTGAATGATATTTTGAAAAAAAGTTATTTTACTTTAAATGAAATATATAAAGTTGATGTTGCAGATAATATACAGGATGTTATGGTGGCTTTTTACGCATACATGAGCAAAACCGAACCAGCTATTAAGCCCAGGACGACATCACACATTTATATTTGACACCATCTTAACAAATTCTGGGTCTGGATATAACAAACATAATGGCATGTTTACGGTGCCTAACCATGGTCATTATGTTTTCACATGGACAGTTATCTCAGAGCGTCATGGATGGTTTTTTTTTTCGGAAATCGTTATTAATTCTTCTCCTTTTGGGAGCATTCTTTCAGATTCTGAAATAGCCAACGAGGAGCATACCGCTACAAGTACAATTGTAGTAGAAGTGAACCAGGGAGATGTGGTATATATACGCACCAATCGAACGATAGCTATTAAGAGAGGAATTCCTAGCTCAAGCCTGCGCCGTACTTCATTTAGTGGATGGAAAATATTTTGAGTAAAACGTATCTCATATGTATTCTTTTTATGTTTTTAATCAACACTACGTTATTCGTATTTTGAATTGGCAAACATGTATCTTTATTCGTACATTTATTAAATAGACTTCTGATAGAGACTTCTCACGAATAATTGATATAAGCTAGCTTACATTATCCTGTTAACTTCACGTTCAGAATCAATCTGTTGTATAGATTATCATTGGTAATTAACGTAACTAAATATTATAATCTTAATTTGCAATTAAACTGGAAATAAAGGATACTTGTTTGTACCTCGGGTACAGTTGGGTTTGCTTCATACCTTGAATTACCAGAAGAAATTTACAGTTCATTGGTTAGTTGAGAACTGATATTTACGAGATGATTTCCCATTGTGAACAAGCCATTTTATAGATAGCAATATTCCATGTATCCCCAAACTGACATGATATTCCAGGGCTACTATTTCTTGTCATGATTGCCTCGACAGAGGTTTTCCAGTTACAAGGAAGCTATTAAACAATGATTCTAAATAGCTAAGTTGAAGTAATCTTTTAAAAAGTTTTACAGACGCTGAATATGGATGAGCTTCGGTTCCTTGTGCAGTTGTAGAGATATAGTACAGCAATACAATCACCGTTCCTTTGCTTTGTTTGTCAAGTAGGGATGTTGTTTTAAAATATTAAGAAAAAAAGCTCCCAACATTGTTTTGCATTATCTTATGCACACTGTTTAGAAAAAGCGTAATTTTCATATCAATTTAACATTTCCGGTTGAGAAAGATCAGATCGTGAAAATTGTCGTGAAAGAATAAGTATCGCTTATTTGATTTACAAACATAATTGAAAGCGTTCCAATCATTCCGGTAAAATTATCATTGTAATCGGTATAATTATAGACGCCTATGATAGGAGGGTTGATATCTCACAAAACATGCTTAATCCCGCCGAATTTTTTCGCCTGTCCCAAGTCAGAAACATCTGGCCTTTGTTACATGTAGTCTTGTGTGTTTTTTAATTTTGGTTCATTTGTATGTTTCGGAGTTATTGTCTCTTGACACATTCTACGTTTCCATTCTCTATTCTACTGACTAACATAACTTTTTTCCTTTTCAATTTTGTTTGGGAATGTGGCTACTATCATGGTTCAATGTCGTAAAATCTAGTTCCTTTTTTATATGTGAAACTTCCAACTCCACAGAAGAAAAAAACACCACACTAAATTGGCAAACTGTCACTCTCAAAAAAACTTGCTCCAATCGTGATACAATCACTAGATATTATATATAATATACTATTGATTTATCAATAACTTACAAAGTATCATTTCAAATTAGCCTTTAACAAAATTTGTAATCGTATTAAGATTTACATTTTGTTTATCCTGAATTATTCACCAGTTTGTGATCGTACATATTTATCTTTTTGAGATAAAAGTCTTAAAGCTTTTAAAAATAAAACCCTCATCTTTCATAAATTGTACACAACACAGTTCACTTTGTATGAAATTTCATCTCTATAAAATGTAAAGCTTAATTACGCCCAAGCTATTACCGCTTATCACTACGGAAGATACAGTATAATCGATTTCGGTCCTTTTATAGTTTGCTTGATGTGGTATGGGATTTGTTCACTGTAAAGGCCATGCTGACTACTACGTCATTTGGTTTCTGATGGAGAGTTGTCTCATTGGCAATTATGCCACATCTTATTTGAATAAGTTTATTATCCACCAGTTTCATCATATATTTATTGTACCAGGATATTGTATATTTGTATTATGTAGTGTGTTTCTGTTTCTGTTTAGGAGGCAACTCTAAGGTGGTCTGTCATAGTGTATGCATATAATATTGACTTGTTATTGTTTGCTATATCTGTGATTTTGTCAATCAGACATGTCGAAATCTATTTATAAGGCTTTGAATGAAAGGAGGTAAACCTTGAGTATGAGAGATTGCTCATGTTTACTGGGTTTCTAATACTATTAGTTACACAGTCTGCTAGTGACTTAATACGATATCTATGGGGTCAGTAAATTCCATAGCAAACCCCATATGCAATTTACTGACCCCATATATATCGTATTAGGTAGCGAACCCCATACGGAATTTACTGATCCCATATATACCGTATTAGGTCACTATAGCACTCTGTGTAACGAATTTATCTTACTGACTTATCTTAACATGTGGCATGTAGACTAGTAGCATATCAAAGTGATCAAGTCTTCAATATAAAGAACCTACTTCCATTAGTCTATACAAAAACAAATGCCTACACTAACAACTCGTTAGCTTTAATGTGTTTTCTGCATCTATTTTAATCGTTCATCATCAATTTCTTCGTTTGTTGTCCGGGCGAAACGTTTCAGATTTTCCCTAAACGTCGTGTTGTTTTTATAAAGGGACGTAACACCACTACCAACCGTGTATTAAAATAAACCACGACTACTAACCCCATATATAATATACACAGTCTCCACACGGTCGATTTTAACCAAACACATTCCTAGAAACGTATAGGAGGTAAGATAACCAGTTATCTAGTCAGTGATTACGAATATGTAATACATATTGTCAGCACTGAATTACAAAGATTGTACAACATCATCTCAGAAAATTGGACAAGATCAACTTCAAACCATTAAATGAAGTCATTAGGATTTTTTATTAACTTAAAGATACAAGGATAAAAAAACTGAAAAATATAGAAAATAATAAAACATATATACTTTGAACGGTTTCTCAGTAATGATTGCTTATTGGGCCGGGGAATGATCTGACATCAAATATTTGAAGGTAACTTAAAGATAAAATTGAACTGTAAAATGTTAAGTGTTCCGATTATTCAAAGCGGTAGACTGTACCTTGTGTCTTCGGCCATATTCTTGAAGATATTATCTGAACAACCATTAAAGTAAGCTAATGCTAACACATTTCCTATATTAGGACAAATATGCATCTATAAAAAGTAACTGTTTTTATTGAATAATGCGAAAACATATAGCAATGTGCACCTTCTGATGGGTTCGTCTGGCTATTTGGATAATCAAAATCTGGAACGGCATATTCAGCATACCTCTTGTATAAAATGACATGGTGTATTCTAAAAACATATTGATGGACCATGTATTGACAGATGTCATTCTAAAGTGAAATATAAGAAAAATTAACGAGAGGGAAAAGTTAAGTATTATTCTAGCCCTTTAAAATTTAAGAAAAAAAAATGATGAACAGCTTTAGGTAAAGGGTCGGAGGAACACAACTCGGACCGAAAAAAAAACCCCAACTACATGTATTTAAATATTTACATTAAAAACAATTAAGACAACATTTAACATTTGAGATGTGGCTATATATCGGCAGCACCCATTATCAAACAGGAAAAAGGAAAAAAAAACACTCGATTTTCAATCGGGAAGAAAATGCTTCTATTCCTATAAGTTTAAGAATACTAGTTACATATCTTTCAGATAATTGATCTAACTGAATAATATCAAAAGGTATAAATATAACATTAACGATACCAATTTTACTGCAACAGATGAATATTTCGAAATTAAATGTCAATGATGTTGTTTGTGGTTTTGAAATTTACGGATTTAAGTAAACATTTTGTATATAAATTAGGCCGTTAGTTTCTCGTTTGAATTGTTTGCATTTGTCATTTCGGGGCCTTTTATAACTGACTGTGCGGTATGGGTTTTGCTAATTGTTGAAGGCCGTACGGTGACCTATTTGGTCTCTTGTGGAGAGTTGTTTCATTGGCAGTTATACATGTACCACATCTTCTTAGTTTTATATTAGGTCATTATCAAAGGTTTACACTTAATTCTATCGATTTAGTGTTATCAGTAACTGTACATATCCGGTATTATTTGTTGATAAAAACGTGAACTATACGTATACACAACTTATAAAGGTAAGTCAAAGCTTAGTGATAAATATGAAAGACTTCTTTTAAGTAACAAGAATTAGTGTCCGAAAAGAAAACACAACATAATAGAAGCAATAATCAAGTTGTTTTGTCTCTTTAATTTTTTTCACGTTCGGTTCACGTTTATAATTAACAACATTCAATTTGTAAAAAATGTTGAAGGCTGCGCGGTGTTCTATAGACGTGGAGATAAATCCTTTCTCGTTTATTTGGCCTTTAAACACTGGCCATTATAAATATCTTTCTTATATCAAATAGATAACCAAATGTAGTTTGTTAAAATTACCCATGCTACATTTTAATCAATTAAATATACTGATTTTATCAAGTAAGTTGATGATAAACTTCTCATAACTATGTGGGTTATTAGGATTGTGTACGTACACTAGTCTCATCACCATTTTGATAGAAAGACGAGACAAGATAATGAATTTGTAACGTTGACACAAATAAGGTGCTACAACTCTTTTACATTTAAGAACTGAATGCTTCTTTTTTAATCTATTGGGATGTAAAAGTGTTGACATATGTTTATGGTTTATTGAGGATACAGATATAAAACATAAACAATGTAGTCCTAAAAATTGATTCGTATGTTTATACGTACTTTTAATTAGATATTTCCTTTTTCGCTTAGTAAACAGGATGTTAAAATTGAGATGTTGTGAATGGTAGGGGAAACCTAATAAGAAATAAACTAAGTAGTACTGAATTGTTACAGCTAGGAATACGACATGAAAGTCAAAATGCCATTCCAACTAGGTGTAAATTGTTTTGCCACTTAAATCTGAAAAAATTAAGACAAGAAATATTCGAACTATGAACTCATCGGAATTCTAGAGCTCTGAATCTCCTTACTAGTTCTTAAAGAATTTAACACATTTTAAACGTAAAATAATGTCGACAATTTAAGTTTCAAGTTATGTTATGTATTAGGCAATGAATTTGAGTTAAATCTTTTTAAAAATCCGCCTTTTAAATATAAAAAAAAAATAAATATATTTTTACTGTAAGGTATGGATTCAGCGACACTGCATTTTTTTAATTAAAATTCATCTAGTTATACTAGAAAACTAAAGACTTACGGGTATTTTTACTCTTAAAATTTGTTATGAAAAGGACTGCTGGTCAATTAAATCTTGAACCGATATTGTAATACGTGATTACAATATTTCCTTAAAACGTAGGGCCAAGGAGTTTGAAAACTTGAATGTGATAAATTAATGTGATAGGGTTTGTCACTTAAATTCATGAAGTAGGATGCTCACCCGACATCCTTCACTAAAACTACCTGCCATGATAATTATACTCACTTTTTTAAAGTGCATTTTGCGACATTTACAGTAAAATCTACATAGTTATTGTAGCTGTTTTGTTCAAAATATTTTTTCGGACAAAATCTATTTTGGTAGGCCTTAATGGTTAGTCAGTTTTGAATTAGCATACATGTATAATGACTAACATGATACAACAACAGATTTAACAATTTCGATTATAAAAATCGAGAAACTAAGGTTACCCTTAAATCATAAATCCATGCTCCAGTGTAAAGCGCAGTTGATTGGGCCTGTCTGTTTGGAAGCTTGTCATTTGGACATCGAGTTAAAACTTTTACATTTGATAATTCGGTACTTATTGTCTATTAACGAACATTTTTTACAGGATTTTCTTTTCTTTTTGTAAAAGATAAACCAATTGGTGGAAGATCGACAGTGATTGTAATGAAAACAAAATTAATGTGCAAATCCTGAAAAGTGCTGGAAGCAATCAAGGTTTTTGAAAAAAAAAAAACATTTATTGTCTTATTGATAAACTTATTATAAACTGGCGAAAATGGGAAATTATATAGATAATAACACATGCACAAATATATAGCAAATCAGCGTCTTTGTTTTTGTTCTTCATGTCAAAAGTCATCGGAAGCCTTCAATACCCCGATAAAAAGCTCCTACTTCACTGCTATTTTAAGAAGGCCCCTTGGGTCAGTTTGAGCTGAAATGTATACTAGATATCGACAACGCTAAATCTGAACATGAAAGACTGACATGCGTACATGGTAACATCAACAAGTTCAAAACCTTGCTTCCGTGACATCGTGGCAACACAATCTGCACTGTGTCCAGCGCCCTAAACCACTCGACCAACTAGGCTATATAAAATATAGATTTCATTAGTCGAGTTATGCTTTCCTCGTTTGCTTTATCTAGGGTTGTAACACAGTACATGATTTAAAGTGACAAGTAGATGGTGTACCTTTCATAAAAAAGAATGGCCAACGTAGATACAAGTTTCTTGTCTTAGGGAGGGATAAATCCTACTTTGTAAAAAATCACTCTGATTCCAACAAAAGATTCTCTGAAACTGAAATTATCAAGATGCTTGATTTCTTGATTGACAACTTATTTGTTACGTTTGGAGGACTTGTTTTTCAACAAACTACCGGCATTCCCATAGGAACCAACTGTGCCCCTCTTTTTGCCGGCTTGTTCCTTTATTCTTATGAGGCTGACGTCATACAGGAACTTCTTAGAAAAAAAGAAATGAAGTTAGCATGCAGTACCCTTTAACTTTACTTTCCGCTATATAGATGATGTTCTCTCACTATATAATTCAAAATTTGGTGACTATGTTGAACGCATCTATCCCATCGAAAAAGAGATAAAGGATACAACAGATACAGTTAAGTCTGCCTCATATCTTGACCTCCATCTAGAAATTGACAATGAGGGTCGGTTAAAAACGAAACTTTACGACAAAAGAGATGATTCCAGCTTCCCAATTGTGATCTTTCCATTTCTATGTAGCAACATTCCAGCAGCGCCTGCATACGGAGTATATATCTCCCAATGGATACGATATTCCCAGGCTTGTATTTCCTATCAGGATTTCCTTGATAGATGGTTGCTGCTCAGAAGGAAGCTATTAAACCAAGAGTTCCAAATGGTGAAGTTGAAATCACCCCTTCGTAAATTTTACGGACGCCATCACGAGTTGGTTGACCGTTATGGAATATCCGTTTCACAGATGATAGCGGATATGTTCCGAATGTCGTAACTACACTCCCGTTCCCTTTTCACGAATGTGACCTACCGAATTAGACTATTTACCGGGTTTGTACTAACATGAGCAACACGACGGGTGCCATATGTGGAGCAGGATCTGCTTACCCTTCCGGAGCACCTGAGATCACCCCCAGTTTTTGGTGGGGTTCGTTTTGCTTAGTATTTAGTTTTCTATGTTGTATTTTGTGTACTATTTTGTGTCTGTTTGTGTGTCTTTTTCTTTTTTAGCCATGGCGTTGTCAGTTTATTTTCGACTTATGAGTTTGAATGTCCCTCTGGTATCGTTTGCCCCTCTTTAAGATCAGCTTATATAAATAGCCAAGATTATCATTATATACAAAAATAATGTAAGTTTTAGACCGCCACTGGGTACATTAAGATATTTCTTAGATAAATTGGTTTAAAAATATGTACGAATCGGGAATCAGGTTAGATTGACTGCCGACGTGCAGCAATTACGGTAAACATACAGACCAAACCATTAGAAAAGTTATCTCTAAAATATTGAATACGGTAAAACTGGTCGGAATACAAATGAGAGTACACACCTTCAGCAGAAGGATATGTTACGACCTCCACACAGCACCCTGCCAATGCACTAGAAAACAGATATATGGCGTATTAATGTATGACGTAATCCCTACATGCACTTTCCAAAAATCAAATCAACAAACGTTTTCAATGCTGTTTTTCATCTCAAATGTACAGCGAGGCCTCCAACAGAGTACATAAGATTATACATCCCCTTTTTCCTGTTTTAGAAATATACATGTATGTTATGTTTATGTAAGAATCATTGTTTATCTTACCATATCTATTTCCTTTTTTTCAGACTGCTTGATTATGCGTTGTTTTAGTCAAAATTATCAAAGAGGTATGCATGCATTAGAATTTCATTTCCACATTAACCTGAAAACCTGAAAAATGTATAATTGGACCCTATGCTTAATTAGATAACACCAATGTTCAAGTTTGATTGCAATAACGTTTATTCATGATAGTTTTGTCACTTGAAAAAAACTTTAATACAAAGTCTGTCTCAAAGGCAGTGAAATAGAGTAGACTGGTATCCTGGCTCAGTATTACTGAATAAATACAAACATTGGTCAGCGACCCCAAAGTAAGATGTGGAGAAGATATTTGATTTCTAGTAAGTGATTATTATTTGCATAACCATTGTGGATGCAAAGGTACAAAGCCAAATCATTTGTGTGCATATGTAAATGAATATAATGAGATAAAAATGAACGAATATAATAGTTAAAATACTTCAAGAGGGCAAATAACAGTCATCAACAATAATAATATTATACATTATGTCAAGCTCTCAGTTCAGTGCCTAAACAGTTGTGATTGAGTTCAAAAGAAACCGTCAAGAATATGTTGTCAACATCAAATTTTCAAATACTAGTAACAAAAGAAATTAAGCAAGCATCGACGAGGATCCTTATTCGAGACAGGCAACTGAATTTGGTGAGAGGTCTCAGCACCCCTTTTAATTTTGAAAATAAAATAATTCATTTCTAAGAAATTGATTACAGAAATAGAATATCCTTTTTTAAATACTTTGAATACTCTTAGTTCCGACACTTTAAAAGTTGGAAATATTTCCAAATTTGACTTTTATCTACATTTGATAAATTAGTCGAATTCACTATTATAAAAGTACTTGAAATAATATATATAATGACGTCCGTGAAGCCACAAGTGAAAAAAAATCTACAAAATCGTAGTCGAACTAGAAACGATCTTATATTGTACGTACCAACCTTATAACGTTCTTGGTAACATATCATACCGTTCAATACACTTTTTATCTACGAATGTTTTATTAATCATGATTTCAAGAATTTCGGGTGATTTTGAATAAGAGGTATCACGTCAGAAGGAAATCAGATAGTGCTGAAATTCCCATATCCTTTGTGCTTGATAAACTGGAACTTTATATACATGTATTTACAGATGACACTGGCTTAAAAAAATATATACAAAAATAGAATTTTGTCATGCTTGGGCATTTTATAGCTACATGTAACTATAATAGTATGGGTTTTGATTATTGTTTAAGGCCGTTTGCTGAACTATAGTTGCTTATACCCAGTTCCTATTGTCTTTGGTGGATAATTGTCTCATTTGCAATCGTACCACATCTCATTGTTATAGCATGAAATGGTTGATTTTAGTTAGGCAAATTAATTAGAAGAAGGTTTGAATAATATTGAGAAATGTTTCCAATGTATCAAGCCACTTTAGGCTTTATAACAATGAGTAATTTTATCTTTTATTTCAGTTTTATGTACCTTCACCATCTTTTGTCCAGCAGCAATCACCTTTATGGCATTTAACTATTTTTATAAGTCTAACAGCTATGCACTTACATATAACAGCAAGATGTTATCCGGAAATGTGAGTAATCGATATTTATGTCCTTACTTCAGAGGTGGCCTAGGAAACCACATGTTTATGTATTCGTCGCTATATGGAATTGCAAAGATAAAAAATATGACATTAGTGATAGACGAACAAGACACTATTAATAGTGTATTTAAGTTAAACGTACTCAAATTAAAAAATGTGAAGTATATATGTGAACAAGCTGTTCTAGTAAATGAAAAAAGACCATGTGCATATGATCTTGAAACGTTCAACTTTGACCCATCAACGCCAGTAAAATTAAAAGGATATTTACAATCGTGGAAATATTTCAAACATGTTGAAAAAGAATTAAGGAAACAATTTGTATTTAAGGAGGAGGTAAAACAAAAAGCTAAGGACGTTATTGAAAAATATACTAAAGAGTTTACCAGAAATAAAACTAATTCCGAAAATTTGAAAATAATAGGCGTTCATATTCGCCGTGGAGACTATCTCACAACCCATAGTATTAAATATGGATATAATGTGGCTTCCAAAGTATATCTTCAAAAGGCATTTGATCATTTTAGATTGAAATATAAAAATTGCCTTTTTCTTGTTTTTACTGGAACAAACAAAGAAGACATTAAATGGAGGGACGAAAATGTTCATGGCAAGGATGTGTTGAAGGTAGCAGCCAATGATCGTAATGTTGACATGTGCGCTTTGACTAAATGTGATCATACAATAATAACTGTAGGTTCGTTTGGATGGTGGGCAGCATGGTTATCCACTGGTACAACCATTTATTTTAAGGATATTGCACAGAAAAACAGTTCGCTTCGAAAAGACTTCAGTGCAGACATGACAGATTTCTTTCCCGATGACTGGATTGGTTTATAGTTTATTTCGAACGGAATATTGTCTCTATACCTTTCAAGACCGTTCAAAAAGGCATAAAAGTTAGTTCATTGGTGAAGCAATACATACGTCAGAAACTTCTATTCTTAACCCCCAATGTAATGATGGATGTATTGAAAATTTCAAAAAAAAAATATACGTTTAGATATTTTGTCTTGTAGGGGGACAGTAGTAACACTGGCGAATAACGGACACATATATATGTGACACACTGGTAGATCGAACTCGAACCTCTACCACGTGATTTACAATTTTGTACTTTATTATCACAGACGATAATAAAAACATATTGAGTGAAAGTATATACAGACAAACAGCTTTCAATTTTACTCACCAAATTAGTCATCCATGAACTTATAGATGTTGCATCACCAACTTGTGATACCGATTTATGGGCGCACGACACAAGCCTCTTCCAAACATAACATGTTGTGGATGCTAAGTACATAAAACGTTTCTCTTCTCAAAAACTGCAGTCAACGGACACCTAATAAACTGAATTCTAGTATTAAAATCAAATGAACAAATGTCGATTGGCAATCATATCACATCTCTTTATCTTTACATATGTGAAATGTTTACAGTATGAATAAAGAAGCGCATATAAAAGGTATGCGTAAAATGTTTTAACTTGTTGTTCAGTACACAAAGGTACATTCTATTTACAATAATACCGAACTCCAAGGTAAATTCCAAAAACATGATAAAATCAAACACGTGTCGTGGGTTCAATCCACAGGTGGTTTAAACCAAAGGCTTGACAATGGTATATTTGCTGCTTCTATCGCTAAAAACGCGGTATTGAGGAGTAAGAGCAGACTGGTTGGCTCGGAAGAATACTGTGTCCTGGTAGGGTGACATGTATTCCTGCAGAATATAATCTTTTGAACTAGGCTTAGCGTGTTAAAAGTCCGGTTCAGCGTGGCGGTTTAGTAAAAAACAGTTTATTCACATTAACTTGTTCCTGTCTTGATAAATTATACAAAAATAAGAAGATGTGGTATGATTACCAATGAGACAAATATCCACCAGAGTACAAATTACGAGGATAAAAACAGTTATAGGCCACCAAACGGACTTCAAAAATGGGAAAAACCCATACCGTATAGCCAGTATATATGTTATATTTTCCACTTGATGTAACACACCAACCCATTATCATCACCATCATAAAATTATAGTTAAGTCTTAAATCAAAGTGATTATTTGACATAACTAACAAGCCATTACATTGGTGTTAACATCACTTGATCATTCGAACTTTATTGAATGAGGTAACGATTGGACAAATTTGAAACAGCGATAGTTGAATAACGGTACATATCTACATGCACACATACATTGATTATGCGGGAAATAAAATCATTTATAAATATCCGGCTACATGTGTTTTCCTTGGCTGATTGCGGTCTGAATCGGAATATATGTAAATATTTCTTTGTAATAGACCATTCTATATTCTATTGATTTTAATTGACTGTTTTCACTTTTGGATCGTTCTAAACAATATAATCACATATTGATTCATATTGTCATCAATCTAATTAAAAACCGATCTGTCATCGCTCCCGTTTTCGGATATGTGAAGAGCATAAAATTGAGAATGGAAATAGGGAATGTGTCAAAAAGACAACAACCCGACCAAAGAGCAGGAAAAATGCAGGTTTTATTTAGAAAATAGAATTATAGTGTTAGTGACCACATTTTTAATCTGAAATGTTTAATTAAATTATATGTATTTAAAAAAAACTGTATTTAGCATGTATTTTTCCAATTCAAGTGATTTCATTACGACACAAGTTGCTTCAACATCATATCGATAGAAACATTTTTAATATTATTTTTGGTTTGTATGAAAGTTCCAAATCTGTTTTCCTGACACACGCGGTCTCGCTCCTTTTAAAGTGCATGCGATTCCCTCAGTTTTTTTATTGTCACCTTAATTTATCGATTCCAAGTCTATTTTTGAGATTCGAATATCTGTAAACTACTGTCGATTTAATTTAGACTGGGAGCAGCAACCTCGCAGAGACTTCGTTTTTAGTAATGCCGGGGCTAGGTTTATTTCATATTATACTTTTTACTTAAAGCTGATGCTACTGTAGTTCTATCTGATTTTAAGAACTTTTCACCGTGGTCGTTATCTGGTGGATATTTTCATTAAAGCTTAAATGATTGGGTATTTTGAAAAGGTTGATATGTAAAAGAAAAGAAAGTATTAGTAATATTTATAATAACCTGCATGTTTGTCACTTAATCATGCATATATTATATGTTAATTTATAATTTATCACTTGTTTATCAACTTTCTTTATTGTACATATACAATGTTGATTTGTTGATATTTTTAATGTATTTGTTTTTTTTCTCATATCCCGGGGGCCTTTGCGCACGGAGTCTTGAATTAAAATAAAACTAGAAGCTTGAAACTAAAATTTGGTACGCGAGACCACCCCGTATAATCCGATACAAATAAATCCGGGCGTTGATTCGTTCGAATCGAAAACACAGCAAACAAATGAGGTAAGACAGAAGAAATATTACATTTTTAAGGTTCATATTTACACTTTGATTCCAAAATTGCTATCAGAATTCAAAACATTTTGATGCAATATTAATATCTAATGGGCATAAAATGATGATATACTTTGGCATTTCTGAATTTCTTTTTTTTTTCAAATCCCTTCCCGATTACGTGTTAAATTTGTTAGAATTTTCTCCTTCCAAAAATAATAACACGATTCGGGAAAGAATTTTTTGGAAATAAGTGAATCAGTGGCATTAAATCAAATTGTACCTACTGAAATCAGTTATGAGTAAATTCGGAACTTTGCAAGCAATGTGTTGGAATACGGCTGCCGCCATGTTGTAGTGCGCCACTACAATTTTACAAAGTTTCATGTTTTCTGGAGAAGATTAGATAAACAATTGGTACACAAAGTATTTCCTGTAATACAGATTGACAAGGATTAAGGATGTTAAATTAAGATTACAACTGCTGGATAGAAAACAATAATATGATGGATAGGGACACACATTTCACCTTGCAATAGTCTAGTGGCTGTCTAGTGTGGCTAAAACAGGCCCCTCGGTTGCCAAAATTTCTTGACCACGAAGAGTGAGTGTGCCAGTCCCTCAACACTAGGCACATCAACATTTTAACAGGACATGTCTGCAAATGAATACAAACACAATACCAAAAAGAAAGCATGAACCAGAAAAATAGAAGACGGCAAAGAAATGTCACCAATGAAAACACAAAAAAGGAATTTACCAAACCTCAAATTTATATGAAAAAGGTATACTTATGATTATCTTACGTATAGTAAAACATTTATGTATTTAGTTTAAATAATAAACATTAAAGCAGGCAAAATATTTCAGTTTGCGCAAATATTTTATTTTCAAAATCAAAGCTGGATAATCCAAAGAACTATAAATAATATTTTTGTGGTTTTTCATTAGCTTTAAGTTTTCTTTACCTTAAATTATAGGTTATTTTGGTCTACAGGTTTGCCAAGTATAAGGGTCATTTGTGATTGCGGGCGGAGTAAACGGTCACACAAACAAACCTACAATGCAGAAGGAGGTGTTGCTGTAACCATCGGCGCCAAAACAAAAAAAAAATTGCATATCGGTATCAGAAACAAATATTGTAAATTTGTAACGGAGCAACTACATTATGCATTGAACTGTCACAGCACATATGTTATAAGAATTGGAATGAGTCGAGTCAGGCCATGGAATCCGATATAATTGTAGAAGGCTTTCTTAAAGCCAACGATCACATCGTAAGATACATGGAGATAATAGGTAATGGAAATTCCTCCACATTGGCTAAAATAGTGGGAAAAGTTCTGTTTGTTGTCGCAACGTAAAAAAAATTGAATGTTCTAACCACGCCTGGAAATGTTGAACAATGCTTAAGATCTAACATTGAAAATATTGTCGTTGATAATCCAGCATATAAGGGAAAAGGGAGACTTTGCAAGAATACTAGAATTAAAATTACTAGTGCTGCTTGCTGTGCGATCAGAATGAGATCACAAGAACCAGACAGAAATTGGACGATGGTATACGAAATTCGTGTTAATCATATATATGGCGATCATTACAACTGATCGATTTCTGGAAGGCAAAAACACTCCCAATGAAAATATACCATCATTCCAAATTTGTGAAGAAACAAACATCAATTTAGAATGAAAATGAATATTTGAACAACAGACTGACATGTGGACAGAGGGGCAAACGTTGAATAGCAGGAAGAATCAAGACTGTCGTCACATTTATTACCATCATACATAGATACAGAAATGCGCCAAGACATAGCCATCCTGCTAAAAAGTCATGCATCCAACCTTATTGAAAATCTCACCAGCAACCTAGTCGAATCTTGAATGCACATGCGGACAAAATTTGATGGAGGTAAACTGTAAAACCTCTGTAACAGAGGTTCATGACATAATAGATGCTTTGATGCAGCTCTTATGAATAATGTAGGTCCTTTATGGTCACCAAAAGTATGGGAATCTAGTACCAAGTCTACCAGTGATAATTTTTTCAAGAATTTTTACATCACTAGATAGAGAAATATTAATGTCAACAATACCTCCAAATCCAAGCAAGTAATAAAAAAAAATAAATGGAAGCGAACAATAAAGGCAGCAAAGGAAGCAACATCACGTAAAGCTAAAATCAATATGGAAAATAATGTATACAAGCAGAGAATGATATATCACCTCAAGAATTATAAACCATCCAGAAGCAATATTATATTATATATAATATCAGAAATAGATATAACACCCCCTGCAATAAATAAAATTGAAAATAACACAACACCTCAAAGTATCTCCGGAAAGTGGGCAGAACATTAACCGAAAACGTTTAACCTCCTCAAATATTTGCCTCATTGTTAAAAGGAATCCGAAGTTACCTGTCGCTAAACTTATTTCTTCTCCTCTTTATTGTACAATAGCTGGGAATAAAGTAACACGTTTTGCACTGAGTCAAGAGAAAGAGTAACTATTTTGGGACACATTCAGTACATGTTAAAGCAAAATAATCTATCAAAATTGAACAGTTTGGACTTATCATACATCCTTATCACCATGTTCAACTGCAAGTCCTGGTGGCATCGTTTTAAAAAGAACCGATATAATTGAAATTAAGAATGTTCTCCACAACAAACCCACATCTTTGACAGAAGCAACAAAATCCGTTTCCAATTTCTGTTAAAAACTGAATCAAAACAAACAACTTCAACTTAAAAAAAACCCCACAACTTCTACTACAAAGTCCAACGATTGTTAAATATTACCAATTTACCATGCCAAGATTTGTTAGCTCGTACAATTAATCCGTTTGAAATTCACATTCAGAGACTTATCAAGGACTCGTCGTTTTGTGAATCCATCATGCTACCCAAGCCGAAAGCTTTCTACATGGTTGCAATCCTACTAGAAATAGCGACACAACAAATATCCAATAATCAGAGAGCCTGACACTGCATAATACATGTATACATTCTCTCCAGTTATACATTTAGTAATTTATAGTTAGCTAAAATATTTTTTTTGCCTTTTATTTTACATGTTTTTCAACAA